CGGGCTTTCCTCCGGAAAGGGAAGGGTCTGGCTCCTCTAGGAAAACAGCTGCTGGGCGCCGGTGCTGACAGACAGCCATCTTTCCATAGCTCAGCTCCGTCCTGTCACCGCCCTGTCTGGAGCCTTGATTTCCCCCCAGACTTTGTGCAGGGGCCCTTTCTGCTGACCCACCCAGATCCCACCTCGCAGATGGTCTGGCCTGCTTCTCAGGCTGGGAGGACGCTCTTTTCTTCCAGCCTCCATCCCTGGAGTGAGGGGTAGAGAGCTTTCAAATCCACCTCAGTACACTTGAAAAGTCTGGCTGGTTTAGCTCACACGGCTTTGGGCAACACGGGCTCACATCCTTCATTTGTAACATGAGAAGGTGGAAATCTGTACATTTTCTTTCAGTCCTGAATTCCAAGACCATGTTAAGTTGTTCCCATTTAACAAAACTCAGGAACTCCCGCCATGCAGAAGAGCGCAATTCCTACCATCAGCAGCAGACCTCTCTCTGTCTAACTCTAGGTCTATGTCTACCACTTGCCTCTATCTGGAACTGGACTTTCCTGGTCATCTCAGAGATGGCATCCTCAAGATGCAGCTCAAAGTCCTTTCATTCACCTTCCTTCCTTCCTTCCTTCTTCCCTCCCTCCCTCTCTCTCTCTCTCTCCCCCTTTCTTTTTTTGCAGTGATGTGAATTGAACCCAGGACTGTGCTAAGCAAGCACTCTACCATAGAGTGACATCCTCATCTTTTAAACAAACTTTCTAAGGCCTGAGGCAATGTCTTACTCCTCTCTGTGTAGCCCTACTAATTTAGGTGCTCTACTTGCCTCAGCCTCTGCCCAGTGTTACATCGATTGGGAATCAAAGAACACTGGGGCTTTGCTATTAGGAAAGCATCACAATGCTTCCTGAAAGCCCTTCTTTAACTCCCCAAGTTGTCATCTTTGTTTTGATGTAGGTTTTATGTGTGCACGCATATATGTGCCAGTATTGGGGCTTTGAACTCAGGAGCTCATGCTCTTGCTTAGTTTTTTTTTTGGTTGTTGTTGTTGTTTCAAAGCTGGTACTTGAGCCACATCTCTGCTTCCAGCTTTTTTTTCTGATTAATTAGAGATAAGAGTCTCACAAACTTTTTTGCCTGGGCTGGCTTTGAATTGATCTCCTCAGATTTCAGCTTCCTGAGAGCTAGGATTACAGATGTGAGCCACTGGTGTCCAGCCTAGAGTGATCTTAAATCTGCTCTTCATATGATCATGATGTTACACACACCATAAATGTTACTTCCATTGGAAGGCTTTCTGTGACTTCCTGCCCTGAAGTACCTTCCTCTTAATCCCAATACCCTTCACCATTCTCTCCTTTCTCTCTGCTTACCTATTGTTGTGTAATAAACCAACTAAAAACAATTTGCTTTTTTTTTTTTTTGTCAGTCATGGGGCCTGAACTCTGGGCCTGGGCACTGTCCCTCAGCTCTTCAGCTCAAGGCCAGTGCTCTACCATTTGACCCACAGTGCCACTTCTGGCTTTTTCTGCTTATGTGGTGCTGAGGAATTGAATCCAGGGCTTCATGCATGCAAGGCAAGCGCTCTACCACTGAGCCACCTTCCCAGCCCCTCAAAACAATTTGTTATGGTATCTTTTTATCATTGTTCTGACCAAATACCTGGTAGAAACAACTTAAGGGAGGAAAGATTTGTTTCATGGTTTCAGAAGATTCTGTCAATTTGGCCCTGTCAAATCTCCACATCTTGGTGGTGAGTGTGGAGGAGGGTATTCACCTCATGGAGGACAGGAAGCCAAATGAATCCAAGAAAAACAAGATAATGCCCTTCAAAGGCTCATTCCCAGTGACCTACTCCCTCCCACTGGGCCTTACCTTCCACAGTTCTACCACCTCCCAATTATCTATTCAAATTTTTAATCCATCAGTGGATTAAACCATGCATTATACTAGAGCATGAGATCTAATCATCCCTAGAAACTCTCTCCTGGGCACACTCAGAAGTGTGCTTTGCTAATCTCCTACTTATTTGTCAATCCAATCAAATTACCAATCAAGATTAACCATCATGTTTGTGGTTATGTGAGTTAGGAAATCAAACAAATTCTGTGGCCTTGGCTGAGATGACAATGTAATGGCTGAAGGAGCTTGGGACAGCCACGCAGGGCTCATTATCTCCCCATTTCTATGGGGTCAGCTTGAGCATCCTTCCAATACAGTGATCTCAGGTTGGTTGACTGCCTAGCAGCTCAGAATCCCAAGAGACCAAGATGGGAGCATTAGTGCTTTTGAAGGTCTCTTCTGTCACATCTGTGATCAAAACGGACCAGATTAGCTCAGATCCAAGGGGAGGGGGCAGGGAAGCTCCTTTAGAGCTGAAAAATGTCAAGGCCATATCTAGATCTTGTCTATCATCTGGGCAACAAAACATTTTCTTCTTTCCTTTTTAGGGAGAAGGAAACAGGGTCTCATTATATAGCCTCGGCTACTCTCAAATTCCAGATCCTTCTGCTTCAGCCTCTGTGTGCTGGTGTATACAGCCACATCTGGCTTGAGCCATCTCTCTCGGTAAATCTTGTTAGCAAATAGGTTCAACCCCATACTGCTTCTGTTTTAAAATATAAGGTACTCAAGAGTATTTTTCCTTGAGGATGCCATGTCCTCTAGACACCCTTGGGGGACTGTGTCTCTGGGGAACATAAAACCTTGGGGGTAAGTCCTGCATACCCCATTCTGCACTGGTTCCTGGGTGCTTAGAGTGGCATCTGTGACCCATGTGGTGATGCACAAATGGTGACCATCAAATGATGTGAAGAAGCTTCTGGCGTGGTCAAATGGACTCATCATGATGTTCCTGCCTTGGGCCCCTGGTCAGGGATGAGGGTTTCTGCTCCTTGCCTTCAGGTCCTGTCCTGGATTCTGTCTAGGTCTCAATAGGTCACTGGCCTGGGAGGGTGGGGAGGCCACTAACAATGGGTGATATCAAGAGCTGAAACCTGGGAGACGCAACAGGGCTGGGTTGGAGTCTTTGGGGCTGAGCACAGGGGTATGGCTGACCAAAGGGAAGGGCTAAGCTTTTCTCGGCTCAGTGGGTCAAAGGCAATGGCTTGGAACAGCTGTAGCTGAAACATTGGGAAGCAGGAAAGCAAAGTTCTCTTGTAAAGTGAGTCCCCTGGGACCAACCCACACCCTGCCTGTGATCAGCAGCCAGGAGCACATTCTGACCAGTATGTTCCCTCAGGGGCCCAGGCCTCAGTGAACAGATCGTAGAGGGCAGCTGCCAGAGCAGAGAGCCACCCCACCCTGCTCACCCTCCCAGGCCTGGAGTGGGCCCCTGCCTGGTCACTGTAGTTTTTCACGTTAAGTGAGGAAATAGAGCCAACAAGAGAATGGGGATCCACTCCTACTAACCTAAGGAACACAGAAAGACACACACATCTTGCCGATCAGTAGAGGGGAATGTGAGAGCACAAAGCTTGGTCTCAAGAAAAGTAGAATTCTTTTTCATGCTTCAGCATTCAAGAAGACAGAGAGAGTTGGGAAGAGGAAGAAGGTACCAGCAGATCCAGGTATCCAGGGCTGGAGAGATAGGAGACATGGTATAGTTCAGTGGCCTCACAGGCCAGGATGACTCCTCGAGGGCTTGAAGAGTCTGGGAGCCCTACTCAGGGTCCAGAGGCTGGACATGGGGCTGGGTGTGGAGAATCCATGCAGGGAAGGGAGATGTGCTTTTGAATATGATGGTGCTCAGAGGTAACTTGAGTCAGGCCTCTCCCCAACAATATCTGGGAGCCCCTTGTTTTGGATGGGTGAACCCCAGAGTGCCGTAGGAGCTGAAGCAATCCTCAAAGACAGCCCCGGAAGACATCGGGAGGGGGACATTCCCCCAGTTAGAGTGTTTAAACTGAGGAGCCATGTAGCTAAGCCACTCAGGTTAGAGATGAAAACACTGTTGGTCACTTGACAGGTGACCTATAAGGACAGGCCTGATGCCCAGCTAGCTGCTCTGTTGGTTTTCCATCAGTCATTTTGATTTCTATTGTTGTTGTTTGTGGGTCGTGGGACTTGAACTCTGGGCCTGGGCGCTGTCTCTGAGCTCTTCAGCTCAGCAAACACTCTTATCACTTGAGCCACAGAGTCACTACTGGTTTTCTGGTGGTTAATTGGAGATGAGTCTCACGGGCCGGGCACTGGTGGCTCACACTTGTAATTCTAGCTACTGAGGAGGCTGAGATCTGAGAATCACGGTTCAAAGCCAGCCCAGGCAGAAAAGTCTGTGAGACTCTTATCTCCAATTAACCACTAGAAAACAGGAAGTGGCACTGTGGCTCAAGCGGTAGAGTGCTTGCCTTGAGCTGAAGAGCACAGGGACAGCACCCAAGCCCAGAGTTCAAGCCCCACGACCAACAACAACAACAACAAAAAGTTTCTCGGACTTTCCTGCCTGGGCTGGCTTTGAACTACAATCCTCAGATCTCTACCTCCTGAGTAGCTAGGATTACACGCGTGAGCCACTGGCGCATGGCTTAGTCATTTCAATTTCTTGGTCTCAGTTTCCTCAGCTGTCCTAAAACGGGAAAAAGGAGAAAGCCTGACATGCCCTCTCATGTCAGTTTTTTTTTTGGGGGGGGATGCTAGTCCTGGGGCTTGAACTCAGGGCCTGAGCTTTGTCTGGGAGCTTCTTATCGCTCTAGTGCTCTACTACCACCACTTCTAGCTTTTTCTGAGTAGTTTACTGGAGATCAGATTCCCACTAACTTTCCTGCCCCAGCTAACCTCAAACCTCGATCCTCAGATCTCTGCTTCCTGAGTAGCTAGGATTACAGGTATGAGCTACCAGTGCTCGGCTCTGTGTTAGGCTTTTTAAGACGAGGAAACTGAGGTTCTGAGACTGTGCTGGGCTCTTTGTGTCTCCCCTACCCTCCCTTATCTCTTCTGCGTCATCAGATTCACTTCCAGGACGCACAGCTTCCAGACTAGAATACTTTATTCAAGAGAATCTAGCTTGGTAGTCAGATGGCCCGCAGGGGCGGCTGGTAGAGCACAGAGGCCTTGGGGATCCGCCCCACTGTCCGCAGCCATGGGGCTCAGGCCACACAGCCCTGCTCCTGGTGACTTTAAGTCCATTTGACCAGGCTGCTCCTTATCCAGTCTGCCATATGTTCAGCTCGAGGCCACTTTTTGTGTCCCTGAGAGGGGGCAGGGTGGTGGCACCTTGCTGGGACAATATTCCGGAATGAGCAGGCACAATGAGATAGGCAATAAGGAGCAGCAAAGACCCACAGCAGGCACTGCTCTGCAGAAGTGAACGTCCAAGTCTCCAGGGCGGAGGGCGGCGGCCAGCACAAGGAGGCCTGGAGGACGTGGCTGGGTCTCCTCCACTGGCTGCCTGCCGCCCGCTCCACCAGAGCCACGCTGGCTGCACAGACACCCGCAGCGCAGCCTCAGGCAGGAGCCCCCAGGAGAAGGGGCCAGAGCCAGGTCACTGTCTTTTCTTCTCCATCCTCGGGCCTCCGCACCCCAGCTTGTCCCTTGCGAAGCCACACGTCTTGCTTCTTCCCAAGCCGAAGCTCCCACGAGTCTGTGGTTGGCTTCATTTGTTTCTCTCACGTTCTGTTTAAGGCACTGAATTCCTGAGGGTCCTGTCCCTCCCCGCCCATCGTCATGGAGGGCGCAAGTCATTCAGCAGGGATACAGTTGGCTAATAAATAGAGGGTAGGTACCAGCAGGAGGTCACTGAAGGTAACGGTAATAAATATACGAGCTGGACATGGGGTCTCTCCTCCACAGAGCTGGTTAGCTCCAGTCACCACCCCTGCCAGAGAACAGACAGACAGGACAGGGTATCAGGACATGATGGAAGGCAAGGTCCCCTCCGATGGGGGGCAGTGGATGCAGAGGGAGTGACGCTTACACTCACACCAACAAGCACTGCGGCCTACCCCCCCACCCAGCTTTTGCCCCAAATATTGTACCATTCACCCTTGGGGCTGGGAAGGTGGCTCAGTGGTAGAGCGCTTGCCTTGCATGCCTGAGGCCCTGGGTTCGATTCCTCAGCACCACATAAGCAAAAAGAAAAAAGCCGTAAGTGGTGCTCTTCAGCTGGAGCTGAAGAGCTGAGGGACAGTGCCTAGGCCCAGAGTTCAGGCCCCACTGCCAGACCCCCCCCAAAAAAATCTCACCCTTAACAACACCCCAGAGGTGTTGAGGAGCTGAGGCCCAGAGAAGTTACGATCTTGTTTAAGATCACACAGCTAGCCAGCATCAAAGACATTTGAACTCAGTCGGGCATCATTAAGATGCTCATGAAAACCGAGAATGGATGGCTTTAAAAAAATCAGTTTTCAGCCTTCTCATGTAGCCAGCTTTCATTTGGTTTGTAGAGGGAGGTGCCAGTGCCCTGCTGCCCCATCCACAATCGCCCTTCTCCCTTAAGAAAGGAAGAGATGCATCTTGTACATGCCAAATTCTGCTCAAGTATGTTGCTATAAGGAAAAAACACTCTGGGGACATGAAACAAGTAATCTGAGACACTGGTGTCAGTGTTGAGAAAAGAAATATGGCTAAAGTGCAGGGGAATCAAGCCTTTTGCAAGCCAGGCAGTTTCCAAGTCTTTCAACCAAATTGAAAAGCAACCTAACTGAATTATCAGCCAATGTGTCATTAGAAGTATTATTTGACTAGACACTGCTGGCTGATGCCTATAATCCTAGCTACTCAGGAGGCTGAGAACTGAGAATCAAAATCAATTCAGGCAGACAAATCTGAGAGTTCTAATCTCCAAGTAACCAGCAAAAGCCAGAAGAGAAGATGTGGCTCAAATGGTAGAACTCCAGCCTTGAGCAAAAAAAAAAAAAAAAAAAAATCCAAGCAAAAACACAAGGCTCTGAGTTCAAGCCCCAATACTGGCACCAAAAAAAAAAGTAATTTTTGTTCAGATCACCGTGAGGACTTTGGCAAATAGTTCAAAGGAGTTCCAATGATTAAATGGCTCTAGCCCCATCTACTTATTTACATGAGCATAATTACTCAGTTCTCATCCATAAAAAGTGATAAACAGGAAACAGGACCAGAATTTATGCTGACTCCTGTCTCCAACAGCAAGGGGAGGGGAAAGAGGCAAAGGAAGTCATATCCATCAACTGATTCATTAACTAATTGAAAAGCAGTAGCCTATCCGTCTCACAGAGATGCTTTCCCAGTAAGATTGATTTCCCTTCGTGGTTTCCAATTATTAAAATATGGTATATTTGTGCCCTTTTGATCAAGTGGGATGACTAATAACTATTCTGATAATTTATTCCAGGAAAAAATTGAATTCAGCTTTATGCTCATAGGAACTTTAAAATAATTCCCTCATGTACCAGCTTTATGGACAATAAACATCACAAGGTGATAAATAAAAGGCTTGTGAGCATTAAAAATAATGTTACATTATGCTGAAATACTGTGGGGAAAATGAAATCAAAATAAAATCTTTAAAAATAGAAGGTGGGGGCTGGGAAGGTGGCTCAGTGGTAGAGTGTTTGCCTTGCATGCATGAGGCCCTGGGTTCAATTCCTTAGCACCACATAAGCAGAAAAAGCCAGAAGTTGCGCTGTGGCTCAAGTGGTAGAGCGCTAGCCTTGAGCAAAAGAATCTAAGGGACAGTGTCCAGGCCTAGAGTTCAAGCACCAGGACTGGCAAAAATAAAATAAAATAAAATAAAAAAGAAGCTGGCTAGCTTGGTGGCTCATACCTATAATCCTACTTAGGAGGCTAAGATCTGAGGATCAAGGTTTGAAGCCAGCCCAGACAGAAAGGTCTGTGAGACTCTAATCTCCAGTTAACCAGCAAAAAACTGGAAGTAAAGGTGTGGCTCAAGTGGTAGAACAACCAGTATTGAGTAAAAAGCTAAGCATACTCAAGGTCATGAATTTAAGTCCAACATGGCACACGTGCACATGTGTACACACATACACACACAAACACAGAAGCAATTGTAAATAAGTATCAAGGAAGGATGTGCAAATACTTATTTTCACTATTCTTTATTTTTAATTGGATGAAGGGCCAGGCACCACTGGTTCGCACCTGTAATCCTAGCCACTCAAGAGGCTGAGGTTTGAGGATTATGGTTTGAAGCAAGCCCAGGCAGGAAAGTCCATGAGACCCTTATCTCCAATTAACCACCAAGAAGCCAGAAGTGGAGCTGTGGCTCAAATGGTAGAGCACTTGAGAAAAAAGAACTCAGGGGTTGCTCCCAGGCCTTGAACTCGAGCCCCAGAACCAGCACCAAAAATAACAAATTTTTAAAAATGGATGATGTTAAATATTAAATGAGGATGGCATAGGACATATCTGAAGAGTGAGTTTATATACTCACTGGCATAACAGCTTTATATTAATACTTACAGTATGTCAGAAATCACATTCTGTGCAATTCTTTATAGTTATAATGAAAAAAAAATCAGTGTCAGCCTAAAATTGAGCAGGAGAGCACTTGGGCTCCTGAATTTCTTTTAGGAGATTCCCAAATGAGATATGTGAAGATGGGTGTCTGGGAAATGAAGGGATGGGGTGCTTTGCTTTAACTGTCTGGCTGGGTTTGTGGCCACCATCACCTGATCTTACCACTAACTCCTTCCCTACATTGCTGTGTGGAATGAGGGCAAAAATGAGTCTTAAGAGGACTGGATGTTCCCTAAATCCTGCCTTCATTGAAGGAGAGAAAATCAACCCCCAAGGTTGAGCTGGTGGCTCATGGGATAAAACTGCATGAAATGAAATGACATGACTTCCTGGCTTCCAGCTGCAGGAACACCTCACTGTACTTGATTTACAGAGCATGTGCAATATTCTATTCTCACTCAGAGATCAGTACGTTCCCTTCCCTAATCCTTTTCTCCCAACCATACTCAAACCTGGGGCTCCAGCGTGCTGCCCCTCAGACGTGAAGCCAAGGTAGACAAGGAACATGGAGAAGAGAAGTGGAAGGAAGGAGACCCCAGGACAGAAATACTAGCCTAGAAGCCAGGAAGGGCTGCACCTAGACTTCTCATCACTGGAAGTGCAGACACCATGGCTACTGGCTGATGTCCTGGCACACAGGAAGTGACAACACCCAAATGTGTGGTGGGTGCTCTGCCTCATCATTTCACCCAGAGAAATGATTTGTTTTAGACCACACAAAGCACTGGGCCAGGCCAGGCAAGAACGAGGGTCCGCTCATGCTTCCTGGGTGCAGCCCCTGTTCAGGATCCCAGGATTTCCTGAGTCTTGCCTCTCCCCTTCCCTGACCACTGACTACTGACCAATGGTAGCACAGTGGGGGCCCCCCTCAGGCCCAGCCTTCTTGCCATCCCTGGGTCGCCCCCCAGCACACTCACAGGTGGGCTTTCTGACAGTCTGTGTGTTTCTGCTTCTCTTTCTTCCTCTTTCCCCTGCCCTTGGGTCTCCTCCTGCAATAAGCCAAAAGCGTCAGGACAAATAATTGAGGGCCCTATGCTAGGAAAAGGGATGGCAGGCCTGAGAATAGCCCAGAACCCCATCTAGGTCACTTACCTTTCTGGCTTTGTCAACTCCAGAGGTCTAGAGAAACAGAAAGAGGGGAGAATCAAGAGAGTAGTTTATTGGAGGCTTCCTCGAAAATCCCCCCTACTCCCAACCTTGATCTTCAAAGTGCTGGTTGGGTAGTTGATTCTGAGGACACTAGGGGGCAGCATGGAGCTGGTGAGGAGCAACAGCCAAAGGCCTTAGACTCTGGCCATACTATCAGAGATATAACACCCCCCCACACTCTCCCCTGCACCCCGGGGTTCCTTCTCATTTGATTCTACATGCCTCCGCCTCCTGGCATCAAATCTAGGGTCTTTTGAGTCTTGTTCTCTGCTGCTTCACTTTATTCACTTCCAGAGTGCATTCTGGGGTTTTTCTCAACAACAGTACATGCTGGGCAAGGCTACGGAGATCAATGGCTGCTGCCAGCTAAGGCTGCCTGTGTGGATGCACCCCCACCCCACTCCTGGTGACTGTGAAGGGAGTCAGTAGGGACAATATAGTTGATGGACACAGGCTGTCTGGTCACCAGTTACGTCCCAGAACTGCCTCCCAGGCTGCAGCTACTGGCCCAGAAGTGAAAATAACGGTGTCTCTGTTGGCTGGACCATGGGATGAGGATCTGCCCCCAGTCTTCCCTGGGAGCAGTGTGTGGTGGCATGGTAGCAGTCAGCTTCAGGCCAAGGGGGGAATGCTGCCCTGGGCTGGTCCTTCCCTGGAAATGCCTGGCTGTATCTCTGCAGATTGGGCAAATCAGAGACACTGTTGGAATCTGACTCTTCTCACCCCAAAAGAGTGGCTATGAAGGTGAAGTTCACCATCCAGCCTGTGTCCATGAAAGTTCATGACCTAAGTTCTGGCAGGGAGGAAACAGGCTGAGACAGGCATGATGAGGGCATGGAGGCGGCCAGAGCCCCGAGCTAGACAATGGGGTAGGGTGACCAGGAGACCAGGAACCTTGCCTGTCCTGTTTATATTATAACCCAAGTGTCTAGGCCAATGCCCGGCACACAGTAGACACTCAATAAACATAGGTGGCCACACATGGGGGGCTGGTCACAGTAGATTATTAAAAAAAAGTCCCCCCTCCCACCTCCTATCCCATGTAGAGATCTGGATCTCAAGTCTGGCACAGCTGCCATGGCCCAGTGGATGCATGCCCAAGATCAGCATCTCAGCCCAATCTGCCCTTCCTGGACCTACCTGGCAGTGCCAGGATTTTTGCTCCTAGTAGTCACAAGTTACAAGAACCCAGAGGATAGACAGTTTTAAAGAAAAGAAAGGGGGGGCTGGGAAGGTGGCTCAGTGGTAGAGCGCTTGCCTTGCATGCATGAGGCCCTGGGTTCAATTCCTCAGCACCACATAAGCAAAAAGAAAAAAAGCCAGAAGTGGCACTGTGGCTCAAGTGGTAGAGCGCTAGCCTTGAGCTGAAGAGCTGAGGGACAGCGCCCAGGCCCAGAGTTCAGGCCCCACGACCGGAACCCCCCCCCCAAAAAAAAAGAAAAAGAAAAGAAAGGGATAGGGATGGGGACTACAACTCTGAAGAAACCAGTGTGTCTTTTTCTTCCACGTTTTCTCCCAGTGGAATTTGTCTTTCCTTCCACTTCTCAGCCCAGTGTGCCCCCTTCCCATGGGTACATAGTCTTGCCCAGAACCAAGTCCAGACTTGCTAGGCCTTTGAAGCCAGGCACCTACTCCAGGGGCCTGCAGCAGCTGCCTCTCATCTCAGAGGATGGGGACGACAGGCAGGAGCCCTTGTAGGTCTGGAAGGGACTCAGTCTTTCTCTTCCCCTGTAGCATCGCAGCTGGACTCCAGCTTCTGGAGCCAGATCCCCATGCCAACTGGCTACTAGTGGGGGATGCAAAACAAAAAGCAGCAATTCAGAACCACTTACCAGGAAAGCAAGTGCAGCCTGCAGTAGAACTAGCAGCCTCCACCTCTGCCCTGCGACCTAGGTTTGCAGAAGGCTGCTAAGTATATGGGGCCTGTCCCTGCCTCGTGCTCCAGGGGCCTACCTGCATTCACAGAGCACGTGTTGAGAGAATGTCAGCTCTACCATGGAGGCCTGCAACTCAAGCTGATGGGGGATTTTCAGGATCTGTGAGAAGATAAAGATTGAAATCTGGTCAGGAGTCACGCGAGCAGGCTCAGAGCCATGATGGCAGCGCAGGAAGCAGTGGGCTCCAGTCCTGGGACCTTGGCTTCCCTCTGTCTCTCTCTTGAGTATTTTCTGGAAGGCAGATTCTGTGGGCCTCTGGGCTGAGGGGCAGGAAATGACATGAGGAGAGCTCCCTACCTGCATGGTGACATTGGCCATCTTCACTGGTACACAGTGCAGTTGCTCATCACCACAGCAGCCAGTACAGCGCAAGAGGGAGACGCAGGAAGGGTTGAATATGTGCTCCACCTCGCTGGGGTACTCAGTCAAAATATCCACCAATGTTTCCATTGGCCTGCAGTAGCTGCGGCCCAACACTACATGGAAAGGCACCACTACGAGGAGGAAGGAAGGCTGGGTTAGGCCACCATGAACTGTTGATGTGAGCCCTGTGGGATCCCTGCTGGCCCCTTATTTCTTCTGCTGGGTGCAAGTCCCAGTGCAGCAGAATCTCTCAGAGTCCCATACTCTGGGCGCTATTCTTTTTTTTTTTGTCAGTTGTGGGGCTTGAACTCTAGGCCTGGGCGCTGTCCCTCAGCAATTCAGCTCAAGGCTAGCGTTCTACCACTTGAGCCACAGCTCCATTTCCAGCTTTTTCTGTTTATGTGGTGCTGAGGAACTGAACCCAGGGCCTCATGCATGCAAGACACTCTACCACTGAGCCACCTTCCCAGCCCAGAGCGCTATTCGTGACTCGGGTACGTGGGTTTACCTTGGTTCCCTGGAGCTCTGAGGAACCTAATGGCTCCCCAGAAGTCAAGTCCCACAGGGAGAGCTGACTTTCCCCTCAACTCTCTGGCTCCTTCATGTCCCCACTAGGTGCCAGCTGCTCCACCTACATCCCATCTCCCTTGTCCCAAGGCCATCGCCCCATCCCTCCCTGTTGTCTTTTCCAGTGATTTCTACCAGGAGTGGTGTTTCTCCCAAGAGCGCAGCTTGGCTCTGGCTCACCCCTTCATCACTGGTGCCTCTTATCTCCCCCATTATAGCCAAATTGAGGCTCTTTGAGAACAGGAGCCAGGCCTCGGTAAACACAGGCTAAGTGATTCTTGACTGATTAGATGCTGCTCACTGAGGATTACCAGTAAGAGCCTTGGCCTGGCCAGTGTCTGTCCTGCCTGGGCAATGTCTGTTTGGTGGGAGTGATGGGGTCTTTTGGAAGATGATCTGGAAATCTTCAGAAGCCTTAGCTCCTTAGGGGCAGGACCCAAGCAGAAGGTCTCAGGAAGTGGCCACAGTCAGTACATCTGGCTTCAGTGCCTATACTGGCTGTGTGACCTTGGGGAGGTCACTTAGCCTTTCTGGGTGTATCAGTTTCCTGAGCTGGGGACAAAAAGAGGCAGGCTAGGAATAGATGGTTGCTAAGGTCCCTTTTGTTTGGACAGACTGTGCTTGAGCACACAATAATACAGCCTAGCTCAGCCTTGAGACTGTGAGCCGAGAAACATCCCCTGCCTGGGTCATCTTGCTCCTGTCTGGTGGTCATTGTCAGCTGACGGAGGCTGACAAGGGAACTGGGTCACCTGGGAACCATCTCTATGGCTTTAGCATTAGAGCAATGGCCTTTCCCAGGAGCCCTTTCACTTCCGTGGCAGGCAGATGGGGCCAAAGTCCATTCCACTGAGCCGATGACGACGTGCGTCTCCCGGTATTCTCAGAAGAAAAATAAACTTCAGTCATAACAGAGGCCCTCAGCAAAGGCTGCAAGCTGGTGGAAAATACCCGAGAGGGGTATGGCCACGTGGAACTGCGGGGTGGCCACTGAGGCCAATAAATGGCATGTATCTGGGTGTCTGCAGCTTCATCCTGCCCTAATCTGTTTAGGGGGCATTCAGATCGGATGGACCAGGTGTTCAGGGGGATTCAGGAGCTCCTTAACTCTACTTCTCCAAGCCGTTAGACATTCTCCCTGGACTCTAGTGGGAACTAAGGCCTCTCTACCGGGCAGTCCTGAAGCCCAGGGAAGCCTGACTTTGCAGTATGGGGTCAGAGAACACCTTTCTATCACCAATCAGCTCCATAAACTGTGTCTAGTCTAAAAACCTTCACGAACCCTAGGCCACAGTGCATGCTTAATCTCTACCGTGCAAATACAAACCGGAGCAGAGGAACAGCTAGCTGCCAGAGCACCCTGGAAGACTTAGACTCCCGCCTCAGCACCCATTGTCAGGGAGAGAGAAAGACAATAGCAGAAAAAAAGGCAGCACCCCAGCCCCCTCCGATCCAGCAAACAAACTCCCACCAGCCGGGCTGTCAAAGCCATTAACATAGGTTGAGCAGAGCCGGCTGGGGCTTTAGTGGCAGAGACTGAGATTTCCTTACTCGCCACCCCCCACCCCTATCCTATCAGGCAAATGCTTCCTTCACAGAACCCTAAAATCCTGAAACCTGCTGCTTTCTGGACTAGGTGGCCAGATCACGTTGGGAAGGGGCAGAGAAGAAGGGCCAGGGCCTGCTTTACCTGGCAGCTGCTAAGAAAGAGGGTAATTCATGTGTGGAGGCCCCTGCCGGTGTGGGGGCTGGGTGAGGGGCCTGGGAGGGGAGGCAGGGCAGGGACCGCTCCCAGATGTGGTTGAGCTCAGCTGCTCCTCAGCACACTTCCGCCAGCCTCAGACCTGTTCTGGGTTGGCGTGGGGGTGGAGTGAGAGGAATCAGAGGCTGTTCCTGGCCAGGGCTGGGCGGTCCCTCTAAAGGCCCCTCTTGAGGCCATGAATGGGCTCTCTTTCTAGCCGTGTGGATGAGCCGCCATCGGATCCCCAGCTTCCCACTACCCAGAATGGAGGCGACTCAGAACTGTTTAATCATGAGAGCCAGCTTCTAGAGAGGCTGGCCACCAGCCGGTGCCCAGCAGGTGATCTACTCGTTGGCAGGGCATCCAGCCAGGCAGCCACAAAGGACACCCTGCTCATGACTGCTCAGCCACCAGGCAGCTGGGAGGCCTGGGGCTGAGCATGTCAGTCCTTCCAGATACTCCAGAGGCTTCCCGTCACCTCAAGGCCTCTCTGGACCTCAGGTTTTTCATCTGTAAAACATAGAGATTGTAAAACCTTCCTAGTTCCCAGCCTTGTGGTCAGACTGTAAGTGTCCAGCCCCAGGACACGAAAGGCAGTAGTGAGAAGCGGTGTCCACAGCTGGACCATGCTGTCACTTGGTGTGAGCAGAAGAGGATAGCATTTTCAGATTTTATAAACTGGCTCTAAATTTAACTCATTGTGCTCCTTGGCCATCACATAGGGAGGGCCCCGGATTGATCAGGATGGCAGACGTGCCGACTTAATGAATCTGTACTTCGCAGCCTCCTCACCAGGATCCTGGGGTGCACACACCCAGGTCTCTTCTATGGACTTAGAGAATAAATCCTGCAATCTTAAATAAATAAAAATAAAAAAGCTGGGCACTGATGGCTCACACCTATAATCCTAGCTACTCAGGAGGTTGATAGCTAAGGATGGAAGTGCAAAGTCAGCCTGGACAGGAAAGTCTGTGACACTCTTATCACCAACCAATCAGTTAAAACCCAGAAGTAGAGTTGTAGCTCAAGTGATAGGAGTGGTAGTCTTGAGCCCAAGACTTAAGGAACAGCATCCTGGCCTGAGTTCAAGCCCCAGTACCAACACACACACACACACAGAACTTTCAGTACAAAGTAGTCTAATGCTCCCATTTTACAGATGAGGAAACTGAGGCCAAAGCTCTTTGGTTACTATTGCCTCAACTACAGAAAAAACAAACAAACAAAAACCCATCAAAACAAGATACAGTGTAGAAGTCGGGATGGGTTCCTCTCCAAGTTCCAGAGAGTGGAACATTTGCCAGTTCCAGAAGGCAGGGCCAATGGGTGTCAATGAAGTCAAGGACAGCTAAATCTCAGACCTATTCTATTCAGTGGCCAAAGGGTCTGGGCCTCAACAGGAGGCCTGGATAAGCCTGGCCAGGAGAGGTTGCTACCAGGCAGGCAAGTGTATAGGGGTGGGCAAGGCCAGTAGAAAATGTTCCTAGCCCACAGATAGATGTCTGTCATACCTGTGTGTGAGCTCGTCCCTACACACCCCCACTCCTATGGAGCAGTGGGAAGCCCCACATCTCAGAGAAGAGGTGGGGCAGGGAGAGGAGTCAGGAGGCCTGGCACAGGCCCCTGCCTTCTGCATGTATGTTTCTTTGGCCAAGGTCTTGTTGCCCTTTGAAGGTTTCCTCTGGATGCAACATAGGGCGGGGAATAGAGGGGCCAGGGAGGGCGCGACTCGCCTTCTGTCTGTTTGTAATCAATGGAAAGGCCTGGTCACAGCCCTGCAACTCCACCAGGGCTGGGCTGCTGGAAAGCGCCCTTCTCCCCACCCCATCCTCTTGACTGCCTGCCCACTTCATCTAGCTCCCAGACCCCCAGTCTGGCCCCTGGCACTCAGTGCCTACCTTGCCTTTCAAGACCCCATCTGCACCCCGATAGCAAGCTGGGAAAGGGCACTGAGCCAGCTGGACAAACCCTTAGCTCTAGTGGTCTGCTTTCTGTGTGCAGGGTGACCTGGCCTAGGACTGCATCTAGGACTGCTGGGTCACAACGGGTGTATCTCTCAGGCCCTGGCAACGCCGATGTCTAGCTTGTAGACTCTCCCCAGTTTGCAATCAGGCTGCACCCACCCTTCATGCCAATTCCTTCCCATCCTCTGTGGGAACTTGAGAGGAAAGAAGGGAGGGGCTGAACATGTGTTCTCCCAATCTGGCTGGCTTACCTTCCACTTCTGATGAGCCATTCCCAGCAGACAGGGCCCTCTGCTGTGGACAGAAAGGTGCAGAGATAAGGGTGTGTGTGTGTGTGTGTGTGTGTGTGTGTGTGTGTGTGTGTGTGCACATGCATGCCATCTGGGACCAAACTGTTATGGCAAGAGGATAGAGGCCCTTCTGAACTCCCCACTACACCGTGTACACACACACATGCTCTGTCCTATCTGAAAGCTGCCTCTTTACAGGTGCAATTCAAAACCAACTGGACCCTGGGTAAGTTCCAGCTCTCTTTGGCCTCAGTTTCCTCTTTGGAAAAGCCTGAGAGGCTGGAGACTTTTGGAAGCCTCCTGTATCCCAAAGATAATTCAATTCTATGGGGTCTCCCTTCTACCCAGCCCCCAGGCCAGCCGTACTGAGCCTATACAGCCCGCCTTGGCTGGGAGCCAGAGCCCAGGGGGAGGTGATCAGCTGGTGGGGGCTGAGGGGCTGGAGCAGGCTGCAGGCTGCGGGTAATGTTACACCTCTGGCCAGCCCTGCAGCAAGCAGGCTGATGACTGGGCTGCTAGGCCAGGCGACTGCCCAGCCCACCCACTCCTGGCCTGGGGCTGGGGACTCCCAGGGCAGCACAGTGGAAAGGGAGTTCATTGGCTTTGTCAAGATTTCACTGCCCAATCTGGCTCCGAGCCAGACTCACCCAGCTCCTGGGAAAAGGGCCCTGCTCACGTCCCCAGGCCCTGCGCTCAGGACCTCTGGCCACTCACCCAGGAGAAAGACCCAGCAGGACCCCTTGTTTCATCCCCAGCCAACTGGGGCCCCTAGTTCAGACCTGAACCCCAGTGAGGGCAGCCTAGCTCCCCCCAATGCCACTCTCTTCACTAGCTTCCTTCCCACCAGGCCAGGTCAGAGGTCCTGGGGGGGTGCCTGGCTGGTCAGGGGGCCTTGACCCTGACCACAGGGCCACCAATCGCCTGGAATTCACGGACAGATGCTTTTCAGCAAAACCACTAGGGCTCGGGGGCTAGCCAGGAATCCTTCCTCCCTCTTTGTGGGCTTCCCTGCCCCCACCAAGACAGTCCCCCAGCCCCTGGAGTTGGGGAGGGCCCAGCCTGAGGTCTCCTCCCCAAAGATATGGGTCCAGCTTGACCCCTAGGAAATGGGTGCACATCCTAGGAGGAGCTGCTCCTGGGAAGGACTCTGAAATCACAGAGCCCCCAGCTTCCGGTCCAGGGACGGGAATGTCCAAGGAGCCAGGCCAGAGTGGGTGAGTCCTTACCTGGGGATGCACAGCAGGCAGCGCCAGCCCAGCCAGGAGCTGCAGAAAGCAAGTGAACAGCCTCATGGCTAGCATCTTGTCAGATGTCTGGAGCGAGTGTGCTCCAAGGGACAATCAGCATGCTCGACCCCCTGGAGGGGCGCTGAGGGATGAGCTGGGTGGTCCCTCTCACTGCTGCCCGAGGTCCCCGGCGTGGGCCTGAGCATCCACGGGGGGCCGGGGGGTGGGGGGAGGCGGAAAGTAGGTGGCCCACAGGTAAGGCTGTGGCTAGGGAACCCGGTCGGAAGCCGTCCCGCGGGTCAGTGTGGCGTGGGGCAAGTTCGTCTCGGGGAGGACCGCTGGGCTCCGGGTGCGAGCCCGGGTCCTGTCGTGGTTGGGCAGAAGTCTGAAGATGTCGTTTCCTGCTCGGACTGCGGCTCCCTTGTGGACTGGAGCTGGTCGGCGGCCGGGTTTCAAGGCTGTGCATCGGGGCGGGGCTCCGGGACGCCCCGCCCACCGAACGCCGGCCCCGGGAGCCGCCGGCGCCAAGCGGGACCCGCGACCG